GTAGATGGAAGAAACAAAGAGCATAAAGGATCATCAATTAGGATATCAAAAAAATTATAAAACACCTGAAGACTCAAGAATCCACTTCCTTCTATCATTTGACTCAATACACCAATTAAAGTTATTAATCGAAGAGAGCAGTGACACCGAATCCATAGAATCTCTATCATTAAGATGCCTACGAAACCCAAAATTCTAATGATAAGAAGAATGACACATCGATGCAATAGTAGACCCATTTAAACGAGATAAATGATAAAGATGTGAAAAAAGGCAAGAAAAAGATAATGAACCAATCCATACATCCTCCCAAAAACAAACTCTGTCTCCATTACCCACCATGAATGTCACATATTGAGAATGCCACGCAAATCCCTGATGAATGAACTTTCATGGGCATCGATAGGTTCCCGTCTCAACTCCTCCCATCCATTAGCTTTTAATCCATATTTGCTCTTAAAAACCAAATTCCATAGAGAATTTTGTTCTAGCGAGAATCTGTAAAGCCATTTCTCAACTAAAGTAACATTTCTTGTCTTCAAATTTTTCATTGCTAGCCCACCCTTAGCTTTAGTTCCTGAAATCACCTCCCATTTCACCGAATGATCCTTTTTTCCTCACCATTTCCTTTCCACAAAATATCTCGTCATTTTCTCAATTCTCATTGCGATCTTCCTTGACACCTTAAAGAGAGAGAAAATAAGTAGGTGAGTTAGTCAAAACTGATTGAACCAAAGTTCACCTACCCCAATAGAAATATAAGCTCTCTTCGATCCATCTAATCTTCTCTTCACTTTTTCCATAATAGGGTCCCAAAATACCAAAGATAAGGGATTCCTTCCCAAGGGAAGACCTAAATACTTTAATGGTCACTCACCCACTCCACATCCCAACATTCCTGCCAATCTACAGATATACCAACTATCAAACTTTTCTCCATATTGACCCTTAACTTAGATACCCACCCAAATACCTCCACTATGTTTTTGAAATTAATGAATTTCTCCTCATCACCCCCTGAGAAAAAGATGGTATCATCAACAAATTATAGATGTGACACAAACATTCCATCTCTCCCAATTACAAAGCCTTTAGCAAGATTATATCTTTCTGCTTTCTTTATTATCCTACTCAACTAATCAACCATTAAAATAAAGAGAAAATTGGATAATAGATCGCCTTGTCTCAAATCTCTAGATGCCTTAAACTGTCTCCAGGGCTTGCCATCATCATAGTAGAGAAATTCATAGATTGCAAACACTCATTAATCCATCTTTTCCACTTCGATCCAATCTTTCACCTCCAAGACATTGTTTAAAAAACTCCAATTCACAGTCTTATGTTTTTTCAAAATTAATTTTTAAAACAACACCCTCCTTGCCCCTTAACCTATAGTTCTCCACCACCTCATTGGCTACATCTAAAATTTGTCTTTCTTTGACAAATGCACCCTTATGATCCGAGGTAGTCTCACTAAGAACCTCTCTTAACCTCAGTTGATAACACCTTTGCAATGATTTTATCTCTAAGGGGGGATGGGTTAATGTTAGTGCAGTTTTTGTTTGCTAGTATCCCTATCTATTTTTTCTCTCTTTAAAATGCCTTGCTTGGTGGCAAAGAAGATTGAAGGGATGATGAGAGATTTTCTATGGGAGGGATGTGGGGAAGGAAAAAAAATAATTTGATTAAATGAGAGATTGTGTCCAGGCCTAAGGTAAAGGGTGGTTTATTGGTAGGAAACTTGTTGATGAGGAATGTGGCTTTAGTAGGAAAATGGTTTTGGAGGTTTCATTTGAAGCAAGATTCGTTGTGCCATACGATTATTAGAAGCAAATATGGGGTTATAGGTTAATGGGTGAGATGTCAATGGGATTGAAAGGGATACCTTTCGGAGTCCATGGAAATTCATTTCACTGGGATTACCTAACTTTTCTAAGAGGGTCAAGTTCATGGTGAGAAATGAGTTGAAAGTAAGGTTTTAGGAGGTGTTTGGAGGGGAAAGTTTCTTTTTCTCGTTTATTCCCTCATCTTTATCATCTTTCTTGTTATCATGGTAGATGAATTAATTCTTTAGTTTCTTCTTCTTCTATTCCGATTACTTGCGATTTTGGATTTTGTAGGAACCTCAATGATAGGGAGTATTTAGAATTTTTGGGACTTCTTTCCATACTTCATGATGTCTCATTGTCTCCAAATTCTTTAGATAAAAGAGTTTGGATTAGTGATTCTTTGGGTATTATTTCTTGTAAATCTTATTTTGAATCTTTAATTGGTGGTTCTTCACTTCCATTTTTTAACCCGTCTTGGAAGATTTGGAGGGCCAATGCCTTTAAAGGTGCAAGTGTGTGCATGGGTAATTGCTCATGGCAAGATTAATACCAATGATGTGCTTCAAAGAAGACTTTTGCATTGTCTTTCATCGCAGTGGTGCGTTTTGTATAGAGGTGATGGAGAGGCTGTGAATCATTTTTTTTTGTACTGTCCTTTGACACTTTCATTATGGTATAAATTGTTTGAGATTGTTGGCACTTCTTGGGTGGTCCGAGATCAACGACATCTATGGTTAGTATGGATTTTAGGGGTTTGGGAGGAAGTTGAAAAGGAAAACCTTTGGACAATGTGTTTTTTTGCTCTCATTTGGGTGACATGGATGGAGAGAAATGCGAGGATTTTTGAAAATAAGAACGAAGAAGTTGAATGTTTATGACATTGGTTACAATTGTTGGCTTCATTATGGGCACCAGCGATTAAAGAGTTGGATAATTTTCCTCTTTTTAGCATTAATGCAAGTTGGACAACTTCTTGCAGATTGTATTTTTTATTGTGATGCCTTTGTTGGGTTGGATAACTTGTCCACCTATGATTGGTTTTGTAACACTTTTTTTGATTAATTAATAAAATTGTTGTGTCTTATCAAAAAATAAAGGTTAGACACCAGGCTAGTTGGTCTAAAATCCTTAATTCTCTAGGAAATGTCCTCCTTTGGGAAAAGGCAAATAAAAGTAGCATTTGTTATTGCATTCTCCACTCCATTATGGTATAATTCAACAAAAACTTTCATCAAATCCTACTTGACCACATCTCAACAATCCAAAAAAACTGTCATAGTCGAATTCATCCGACTCAGAGGCCTTATCCCTCCCACACTAAAAAATAGCACGTTCTACTTCATCCTCCTCAAAAGGCCTTTCCAACCACCCGACTCTATTCTTATCAATTGGACTCCACTCTAGCCCTTCTAATCTATTCCTATGACTTCCTCTGCCGCATACAACATAGAAAAGAACTCAACAATCTTGTTTTCTATCTCTCCTTCATCTTCTACAATCACCCCATTTTCAAGTTCCAATTTATAATGAATTTCTTTTTACTCCTTCCATTTGCCACTCTATGAAAGGGCTTTGAATTATGATCATCTATTTTTATCCAATTCACCCTTGCTTTTTATCTCCAACTCACTTCCTTTTTAAACACAACCTACTCAAACCTATTTCAAAGATCCCACATCTTTTTTCTCAACGTGTCATCTAACCCCTCTCCCTCTAACATCCTATCAATCTCACTAATTATCCCCATGATTAAACCCTTTGTTATCCTAAGATCACCAAATATCTCCTTATTCCATCTTTTTGCCTTTTGTTTTACCAACTCCAATTTTTTCATAAATTTGAAACTCTCCCACCCTTGAATATTTCTATCCCCCCACTACTACCTAAACTTGCACTTTAAATCATGATGTTCTAACCACATATTCTCCAACCTAAAAGGGCAAGGACCACATCTAACCACAGAAGTATCAAGAGCAATAGGACAATGATCCGAAACAACCCTATTAAGAACCTCCTTTCTAACTCCCAAAAAACAATTCTCCCCCTCGGCAGAGGAAAGGAACCTATCCAACCAGTAATGAACTAGATTTTCCTTAAAATTTGACCATGTAAAGGTACCATTAGTCAAAGTAGGGTCTCTCAAGCTTGTTTCCCTCATGAAAGAGTCAAAATCCCTTATACTCCTCATCACTCTCTTTGCATTCAATTTAGAAATGTATCTAATCACATTTGAAATCACCACTAACACCCTAATGAGGACTACAAAGACCAAACAAGTTTGCCAATTCCTCCCACAACCTTTTTCCTTTCCCTAGGACAATTTGGACCATACACCCCAGTTAACCACCACTCTCCTCCATCCATACTCTTAATTCTAACAGAAATTGTGAATTCCTCCTCTTTTGATTCCTTCACAGTTATTGACCTATCATCCCATGTTATCATTATTCCCCCTGGCGTCTTGCAAGATGGTAAATAAATCCAATTCCTAAACCTATAGTCCCATGCACCTTTAACCAATCTCCTATCAACAACCTCCTTGGATTCTTGTAAAGTCGCCACATTTTGACATTCCTTTACAATCAACTCCTTAATTGAACTACTTTTCATTTTCGACCCAATACCTCTGACTTTCCAACTGATAATCTTCATCTAGAACCATCAACACCTTTGTCTTGCTTCCTATATATCACTCCATCATAATTTATCCCATACTTTAGATTCCCAAGTTCCCGAACCACTTTTGGTTTTCCCACACTTCTCCCTTCACCTTTTTTCCTACTTTTCTTTCTATTGTGAACTAATGATAAATCCATTTTTTCCAATAAATTTTTCAAGATGGACAATTTTTCATCATCAGACAATAAAAACTCATCATTCCCATCCTTATTCTCATCCTTATCCCTCCACAACTCAGGTATCAACCTAGTCCTATCAATTTCATAGCAATTTGTAGCTACAGTCACAATAGCCTTAGACTCAGCAGGAACAAAATTTCATATAGCATCCTGGTCCTCAATAGACAGTATATGATCAAAGCAACCAATATCTTGTGGCGCCAACTGGACTAAGTTAGTAACTCTATCTTTGCCCATAAATGCAACTCTATCTTAGTAGAGATATTTTGGCGTAGCATATAATGATGTCTTAAAAGCTGTTGCAAATGCATCCCATATTTCTTCGATTGCACATGCCTAAATTTAACTAGTATGTATTTCACAGATACATCCTAATGTGAGATTTCTGAGGGGACGATCCATTGAGAATTATGAGGAGTTGCGTGTCATCTTTGACAACAATTATGCAAGTGGATGCTGCTCTGGAACTGGTGCCAAAAGTGGTGTTAATCCAGCTTCCAACAATGAACAGATAGAAACTCCGTTGCACATCATGCTGGGTGGTGGGGAGATGAACCAGGAAAATACCAGTGAGAGCACGCAAGGTTCATCTCATCGGACAAGAACTAGACCTTCATTATCACGTTCTAAACAGCCGTCTAAGAAGAGGCGTAACAGTGATGTGATGGTGGAAATGATGAACGCTATTGCAGCAAATATTGGTAGGATAGCTGATGCTTTGACAGGGAGCAACCAATCTGTGTGCTTGGATGAACTGTTTGAGATGGTGCAGAACATTCCTGGCTTTGATGACGATCTTATTATTGAGGCATGTGAGTTTCTTTCTTTTGATGAAAAGAGGGCCAAGATGTTCTTAAAATTGGATGAGAGGTTAAGGAAAATGTGGTTGTTAAAACGCTTGCGTGGTCACGCTATTTAAAATTCAAATAACCTGTGTTGGTACCTGGATGTGCACTTTCTGCTTACGTGAATAGCTGCTTGGTGTACAATTGTCTGGTTTCACACTATTTCCCCCCTTCTTATCTCTGTTGATTGTTTGGTTTTATATTTTATTATCCATTGGCTTTTTTACTTGACATAATCATGGGTGGTTTTCTCCATATCTCGATAGGCTTTTTTTACTCCGCACTTGGATGGAGTATGGGTTATTGGATTCTACCATACTGTTGTTGTGCCACTGTTATTTGCCTCAGAAGTATCGTAAGAGATTGCAAGGTATCCATTTTGTGAAGTAGCTGGGTTCGGTTCTTTTATGTTTTTTTTTTTTTGTGAAGTTCATTATGCGTTGGAGTTTGCACTTAGTAGGTGTTTGTGGAACTGTTGTGCTAGGGGATTTTTATTAGTCTCTGCTTTTATTAATTCTTTTTGCGTCTTTGGTATATTGGGGGTTTGAGTGTGTATGATGCTCAACTCCTCCAGGTTTTCCATCTGGGGCCAGTTTGTTTTGTGGGGTTGGGTGGATTTGGAGGCTGAAATTTGCCTAAATAGTCCAATAGGCCTTTAAATTCGTTGTTTGGTTGGATATGTTTTTCCAAATTTTAGAGGCTCTCATGGTGAAGATCTGAAGATTGGAGTGGGTTAAAGTCCACATATGTAGGCTTGAGTTGAGCAAACCCAGGGGGTGTGGTGTTTTAAAGTCCACCTTTTGTGGCTGGGCTCTCAAAAGAATTTGCTGGAACAACATCAAACCAAACTGTTGGTTTTTGTAGGTTAATTAGGTCTAGCAATCTAAGACACTGACTCGTGAAATCGATAACAACCTGACACTAATTTAATGAGTTTGGATGTATTCTTAATGAATTTGGATGATTAACAAGTTAACTCGTTAGATATGTAAAATAAACGAATCGGTTATGTATTTAACTCATAAATTTATTTCAAGCCGTTTAATCCGTTAATAGTGGTATTATAAATTTTCAACAAAAAAAAAATTAGATTTCTTAACTTCCGTCTCACCTCAGGAATGGTGATTTTTTTCATATTCTTTGTTGTGCACACACTTTTTAGCTCAGCCATAATTTATTGTTATAATAAATAGGTCAAACATATATAATGCGTGGTGAGTTGTTTTTTTTGTGTGAACTTAAAAAATTCTAACCGATTCTCTTATTTAAAGAGTGACACACAAGTTATGTTGGATAACTCGTTTAATAAATGAGTTGTGTATGGGTATAATAGTTAAAATCGTTTATATAAACGAATGGAATATAAATAAAATATGAGAATTTTTTACTGACACAATTGTCAGGCCTAAGGTTAAGTGAAGCAATTCTTTTTGGCACAGCAACAGGGAGCTGCTGAAATCATTCTTGAAGGGAATGCTACTGATGTTCTGAAGCAATTCACGGTGGATGCAGAAGGGTCCTCTTCTATGGGTCGTAGAGTAGCCCAAATTGTTAATGAGCTTTTAAAAAAAAAAAAAAAAAGGTTTTTTGGAAGTCGATACACTTAATTAGACTTATTTGATAAAAAGTACATAGAATAAAATGTTAGTTAAAAAGACATAAATGCTCATTTTAAGGTCATTTAATTCAAAGTCTCTTATCTTTAATGTACCTTGATTCATGTGTGTTTGTTAATACATATAAATACGTATTTAATACACCTTTAATTCATGTATATTTGTTGATACATGTAAATATATATATATATATATATATATATATATATATATATATATATATATATATATACTTATTTATATATAAATATATGTATTAAAGTTCTCTTATAAAACTAGAAGATGTTTAATGCACCACTTTTTAAAGAAAAGTGGTATATTAAATACACATGGATTAATGGAGGGCAAAAAAGTCACAATAAAAATAGATAAATTCAAATTATTTACTTGGATACAAATAAGTATCAAAATTAAGTATTTAATAACCCTAAATTTTTTAGTGTGTATTTTTTACCAAATAAATCCCTTACAATTTACCCTAAAAAAAATTAGAGTTTATGAGGTGGCGATCGTTCGTTCGGTGACAAGGAAATCGGGTAGTAACTAACTAGTTTAGCAATGTCATAGGCAATGTGATTGTATGATATGGGCATGCACCGGAGTTTGCAATGTCGCACCTTTTTTTTAATATTCGAACGAACACGAATAAAATTCACTGTTTCTATTTAATGAGTGGATTGGCAGTTAAATTTTATTTATATTATGCGTGGAGATTGATTGATTACCGAACTATCATTTTGTTGATCCTCAAATTTGGTTACTCTAATTTTCAAATCGTATTAAATTTAAATATAACGAATTTAATGGTGAATAATTTTATAATTTCGATGAAATTGATTCCCCTCCTCCGCCATTCCATTTAGTTAGACTTGCAAAAATTCATTCATAGATTAAATAAAATTTACATGGTAAGACTTTGAAGTCTCTCTATGGAAATTTGCAAGTAAATAAGAAGTAAAAAAAATTTATTATGACTAAACGAGATGTACCACTAAAACGATGAAATTTTTAAATCAATTATCAAATAATTCTATTTTGCCAAAATTTCACTGAATTAAGTTGTAATTTTTTATATTATAATAATGGTACCCCTAGTCTATTCAATTTTACAAATTGATCAAATTTAAAAGGGTAATTCTATGATGTCGGAAAAAAAATTAGGTACCATATTAAAAATTACCCTTTTTACTGATCCAATTGTATGTTTTAAAGATAAAATTATAATTATTTGAGAAATTTTATGATTGATCATAAATTTTCTTAAACAATTATAATTTTTATTTTATGAGTTATAACTTAACTTTAAAATTATAATTTTTATGTTGATCAAAACATTTTAAAATCAATCATACTGTATACAAATTATAACTAACAAAACGTTCCCAATTTGAAAGTGACATTGAGTTATCAATTAGATACCATATCGAGAATTACCACTTTTAATGGTAATGTTACATTTGGTAAAGGTAAAATTAAAAGTTATGTTCGATCATGAATTTTCTTAAACAAATGTAATTTTTTTAGGAGTTGTAACTTAAATTTTAAAATTTATAACTTAAACATAAAAGTTATAATTTTTATGATCAATTACAACATTTTAAAGTTGATTATATAATTTGAATTTAGGGGTAAATATTATAGTTGGTCCTAAACTTTCTCTCTAGTTTTAATTTGATCTCTAAATTTTCAATTGTCATGATTTAATCCCTTAATTATTAATTTTGTCTCAACTAAATCCTTTTGTTCATTTCTACCGTTAAATCAAAATAGAAACATATGATTTAACACTTGAAATTTATCAAATTGGGCTGGTTTTTGATTGATCTAATGGCAAAAATAGATGAAAGAATTTAATTGAGACGAAATTGGTAGTTTATTTTTTTGTCAGAACGAAATTGATAATTGAAAAACTAAATTAAAACAATTAGGATTAATTACACTAGAGGTCCCCAAAGTATGGAATTTATTTTATTTTGATCTCTAATGTTTTAATTGCATCATTTTGATCTCTGACATATTAAATATATTTTTATATAATCCTTCAAACAGACAACATCCAGATTGCTAACGATTTGTTTATTATAAATTTATTACGTAATACTTAAATATGGACAAAATATAATTTTGATAGCTCATAAACAAAATTTGGGTAACTCTTAACAAAAAATGTGTAATATGAGTAACTTTTGATTAAAATTTAGTTCATAATCAAAACTGTGTAATTTCGATAACTATTTAACCAAAATTATTTTTTTGTTCATATTTAAATATCATGTGACAAGTTTATGATAAAAAATCGTTAACAATTTGGACGCTATCTGTTTGAGAGACCATATAAAAACATGCGTAATATTTCAAATATCAAAATAATCTAATTAAAATATTAAAAATTAAAATTAGACAGCAGAATTAACCAAACAAGTTTAAAAGATAAAAAAAGGAGATAAAATTGAGGTAGCAATTCTCGATACTTTAGTCTTTCCCGATTTGAAAGTCACGTTGAGTCATCAGTTCGCCGGAGGCCATCCTCCGCCGTTTCTCCGCCAGTCGCCACCCCAAAACCCAGCGACGGTGTTTTGAAACAAGGCTTTGTTGTCTTTCTATGTTCAGAAATGCTCACACTCTTCGCCTCCCCCCCAAACTCTCATTCAAACTCAAACAAACTCACACTCAACACCTCTCTCTCTCAATCTCCACCACCACCACCACAACACCACTATGGACTCATCTCTCGTCACCCACTCACACTCACCCCACTATCCTCCCATTCTGTTCCTCCACACAGTCCCTCCAACAAACCCAACAGACCCATGCAATCGCCATCCTCACTGGTCTTCTTCCACGTAGTGTCTCTATCTCTGCTGCTCTCATTCTTCGCTACGCCACCTTTGGAGACCCAATAGCTTCTCTCGTTCTCTTCGAAAAAACAGTTCCGTATTGTCGCACTGCATTCTTGTGGAACACTCTCACACGAGCTCACACCATTGCTGGAGTCCATGATGGGTTCAAAACATACAATCGAATGGTGCGGGATGGTGTTAAGCCCGATGGACATACGTTCCCTTTTGTTCTCAAGGCTTGTTCGGATTATTCGGAGGTTGAGAAGGGTATGGAGGTTCATGGATTGTTGTTCAAGCTGGGTTTTGATAAAGATGTTTTCGTGAGTAATACCCTTTTGTGTTTCTACGGTGGGTGTGGTGGTCTGAGTGATGTAGATATGGTGTTTGATGAAATGGTTGAAAGAGACGTTGTGTCGTGGAATACGATGATAGGAGTGTTTTCCGTCAATGGGTGTTATGCAAAAACGCTTGATTTGTTTCAAGAGATGAAGTTGAGATCTGGCTTTAAGCCGAATGTAGTTAGTATTGTGAGCGTTTTGCCGGTCTGTGCGGGACTTGAGGATGAGGTGATGACTAGTAGGGTTCATTGTTATGTTGTAAAGGTAGGTTTTGATTGTCATGTCACTGCTGGTAATGCTCTGGTTGATGCTTATGGAAAATGTGGGAATGTGATGGCGTCAAAGCGAGTTTTTGATGAAATGGTTGAGAAGAATGATGTTTCTTGGAATGCTATTATTGTTAGTTTGGCTTATAGAGGGTGTCATAAAGATGCCTTAGATATGTTTACATTAATGATTGATGTGGGAGTAAAACCAAACCCTGTTACCATTTCTAGTATGCTACCAGTGTTGGTTGAACTAGAATGTTTTGCTGCAGGAAAAGAACTTCATTGTTACAGCATCAGAATGGGTATGAAATCCGATATTTTCATTGCCAATTCTTTAATGGATATGTATGCGAAATCAGGACACTCAAATGAAGCATCAAATATATTTTTCCAGATGGACACAAGAAATGTGGTCTCATGGAATGCCATGGTTGCTAACTTTGCTCAAAATAGGAGTGAATTGGCGGCGATAGGACTTGTCAGAGAAATGCAAGTTCATGGTGAAATTCCTAACTCTCTCACTTTCACAAATGTTCTTCCGGCTTGTGCACGAATGGGCTTTCTTCGCCCTGGAAAAGAAATACATGCCAGGTCTATCAGGACAGGGTCTGCCTTTGATTTATTCGTCTCAAATGCTTTGACAGACATGTATGCCAAGTGTGGGTGCCTAAACCTTGCCCAAAATATATTTAACATCTCACTTAAAGATGAAGTGTCGTACAATATCCTAATTGTGGGCTATTCCCAAGCTAGTGATTCCTCAGAATCTTTTACTTTATTTTCAGAAATGAGGCTGGCGGGAATGAATCATGATACTGTTTCCTTTGTGGGAGTTCTCTCAGCTTGTGCAAATATTTCAGCAATCAAGCAAGGAAAGGAGATTCATGGATATGTAGTGAGGAAGCTTTTTCATACTCATCTCTTTGTTGCAAACTCACTCTTGGACCTTTATACCAAATGTGGATGCATTGACCTTGCTAGGAATATTTTTGATCGGATCCCAGACAAGGATATAGCTTCATGGAATACTATGATCATGGGTTTTGCTATGCTAGGTGAATTGGATACCACAATCAATCTCTTCGAAGCCATGAGGGAGGACGGCGTGAAATACGACTCAGTTTCTTATATTGCTGTTCTGTCAGCTTGTAGTCATGGAGGATTACTTGAGAAAGGAAGGAAATATTTTGATGACATGCTTGTTGGGGATATTAAACCCACAAAAATGCACTATGCATGTATGGTTGATCTTCTTGGCCGAGCTGGACTTATGGAAGAAGCAGTAGAGCTCATCAAAAGATTGCCAGTTGAAGCAGATGCCAATTTATGGGGTTCTCTCCTTGGGGCGTGTCGATTACACGGGAATATAGATTTAGGTTGTTGGGCAGCTGAGCATCTATTTAAGCTGAAGCCGGAAAACTCCGGGTATTACACACTTCTTTCAAACATGTATGCAGAAGCAGGGAGGTGGGATGAGGCAGATAAGATTAGAGAATTCATGAAGTTAAAGGGAGTGCAGAAGAATCCTGGGTGCAGTTGGGTTCAAATTGATGATCAGGTACAGGTGCATTCTTTTGTTGTTGGAGGCCATTGATTCGATGTCCATGGCTTGACGAACCTGTTTTAAGTATTATTTTTTTGCCAAAATTTGGGCACTTCCATCGAGAGGCGATTGAAGAAGGCAAAGTAAGCATGGCATGAATATCATCGGGCTCTCGGAATGCTAGTTGAGGTGTTGGCCAAGAAAATAAGATCAATCATTCTTGAATGTTCTTTTGCTAAAATGGTATTCAGCTTGATTCATGATGGTGGGAATTTTTATACCAAAAAAATAAATAAATTATCCTTTTTGCAGATAATTTAAAACTTTTATCAGTGTTTTATCGTTATTATAGGTGTTTTTATTACTCTTGTGATAACTATTTTTACCATTTTTTTTTTATATTTACCACTTTTGCAATAATTATTTTTACTATTTTTTTCGATACCACAACATTGGTAAAAACAATTACAATAATAATAAATACATCCACAAATATAAAAATTACAGGAGACAACTACTAAATTTTTTCCAATTGGTCAGAATTTTACTGTTTGAATGTCACTTAAGGAAACACTCTGATCAAAAGTTCTCATTATGTACTAGTTGATTCTCCACCCTTTCCTGGGACATTGAACCATGTTTGTTTCCCCGCATAAAAAACATACAGCAACCACAATATCCCCAGAATACATACTAACAAAGGATGAAAGGGATTGCAGTTGGATATGATTACAGTCGGCTGGATGTGTCTAGATTGGATGGGATTGTCTGAATGTTAGCAAATGATGAGGGGAAAAACAGTACTCCCATTTTTAGTTAAATTGAAATATAAAAAGCTTATATTCTAACTCATACAAAAAGCTACACATATTCAGATTTTGAGGCCATTGTGATTTGTAGTGCAACAGGCAACTAATGAGGCGAGAGAATTTACTGCATGATCAGATGGCCCAGAATGTAAAGATCTGCTGGGGAAAGGCTTAATGCTTCCCATTACTGAGTCCAAAAACCGAAGCTTGGACAAGCTGGGATGCAGTTGGCACCTCTGGAGTGTTGCAGTTGTAGCCATGTCCTCAAATTCCTTTTGCACCCTTGCCTTCCCACTCTTTATACTAGCTTCCTCTACCATTAAGACAAGGAAAGCAGGACATTTTCACCCCTTTTGGTTGCCATGAAAAGTTGAATCTTCAAGGGTCAACCATCAATCACAGAACAGCTGAAACCCCAGGAAATCTGATATTGGGGTGATGTTCAGGATCAAAACCATTATAATGTTAAACAATAAACCATTGATCAGAGAGGATAAAAATTCACAATCAAATGCTATGAAGGGTGACAAATGACTGCAATACATGAAGAGTCAGCATCCAAAGCCCAAATACCTAACTCATCAAGCCGTTTTTGTATTGAATTCAATCGTATCTCAGAAGACCAGAAGGCAATCTTCTTTCCATTCCCCAACGAGGTTTGATTAACATCAAAGGCATTGATGTTTGCGCCAAAGCTCATCCCATCAACCCAGGTGAATTTCACACTACACCATTCTAGTGTCTTTGCTACTACATATGCAAAATTACTGCCCTCCATGGAAACTGATTCTTTAGTTATCAAAGAACTTGCCATCAAAGCAACCTTGTATGTAAAATCGTCAACCCAAGTTTTCAAAGCAGAAGATGAGCTCCTGACAAAAAGAAAGGTAGAGTTTGTCCCAACGTAGAAATTGTACTTGGGGTCAAAGAAATCGACTAATGAATCACTGGTAACTGGAAGAAAGTTTCCATCCAGCACCCACGTACTATACCCGAGCTCCAAGCATTTCTTAACTACATAGGCCTTCACAAAAATCTCCTTGATCAGTTCTGCACTGAATTCTTGAACTCTTATTGATTTGTAAGCTTTAATACTGTCTGAAAATTGATCCACGTCAATCATAGGATGCCCCCTTCTCGCAAGATCAAATAAAAAATCAGATTTTGGGCCCATAAAAATGAAGTTCCAAATATTTAGCCTCTCAAACTGGCAGAGTAAGTTCCTTGTCACTGCCTCTGATGCCCTATACAAGCTTACAAGTACAATAGTCTCTAGTTTCTGCACAGAGTGAAGGACGTATCCAAGATCATCGAAACTCCTCACCACTCTATCAGGAAGTACTTCTCTGAAACAGAAATCATAGCACTTCAGACTACTCAAAGACTGCATCTCCAAAAGGTTAAAATCAAGAGCATTTTCTTCCAATAAGTATGAGTCAGGCCCTGCTGTTTTCCCATAGTTAACACCAGCATCCCTATGAGAGACACTGAGGGCTCGTTCGCGTAAAAAATTGGTATATATATTGAAATACCCATGCGTATGGATAAACTTAATGAACCAAGGAGTCCATATTCTCTCCCCCAGTTTTTTGTACCATCCTGTTGTCACCTACATACCCATTTGATTTGTACGTAAGATATAACTAATATACTGCATCTAAAATCATGAAAAGACAAACCATAAGGGAGAGCCATGAAGTGTATAGTGGTAAAATACGTTACCATCCCCTCGAGAAATGGCTTCATGCCCTTCGCCTTGTGGGTGTCATACCACAAACGGAACTCCTTCCAGGGTCTTGGAAACAAAAGCTGACCCCAAGTGCCAACCAGAGGATACAAGAAAAGGCGAGTTCCACTATCTAATTGCATTTTGTTTCCATGTTTACCTGCAGTCAGTATTCCGGAACCCAATTAATCAATTGGACTGTGAGCAGATCAAAATTTTTTAAAAAAATATCTGGCATGTTCTTTTGTTTTATGTTATGTTTTGGCTATAACCCTGACAATATTAGGTCCTCCCCCAACACACCCCAAAAGTAGATAAATAACTGTAGGAATATGAAATTTTCCTTTTAGGTCTCGCCCATAATTAATCAGAAGGTCCATCTATGAGTAAAAACAGTCTCTTTCCCACCACATTTAGTTAAATTGGTACTGGTACAAAAATAACATTATCCACTATGAAACACGGATACTTCATCGAGTTACCTGCTCGTGAGATACTCGACGATACATATTGGATACTTCTCTGATGTATCCGATAATAATACAATATTTTGAATATTTCACGAATACTTTTGTATCAGAGCAAATATATATTGGAGTAATATTGATAGGAAACAGAAGCATTTTATTAATAAAAGCTTGCAAAAAACATATAAAAGGTTGGATAAGGAATCCAGCCAATAGACAAAAAGACCAAGGAAAAAGAAAAAATATAATCATTCACAAGAAGCTTTCTATCTTGCCAAAATACTAAACAAATAATCCAACCACATCCTCACTTCTATCTTTGAAGATTCTTACATTTCTTTCTTTCTTTCTAAATTATCAATTTCACAAAGTCACTCCTTTTTCTCTCCGACCAATGCCTTTCAAATCTTCAATAAACAATGAACTAGATGACAAAGGAGACACCCAATTCAAACCGACGCAAGTAAACAACTTACATCATAAATAACCAGTAATAGGACAATGTAAGAATAAATGATCAATGCTTTCAAATCACTTTTACACATCACACACCATTGAGGGTAAAGACAAGTTGTAGGTCTCTTTTTCTGAAGTTTATCATTGGTATTAATCTTACCATGTATGCAAAAACTTGCACCTTAATGGGTACTTTGGCTATCCAAAATTCCAAATCATGATAGCAGGCAAAAAGAAATGACATGAAGAATCATCAATAATAGAACCTAAAAAAGACTAACAAGAAACACCCCGGACGACTCACAAACCCATTTCCTCTAATCAATAGACTCTTGACTCAAAAAATAATAATTAAGGACATTGTTGGAAATATAAAAACCTAGTTTATTAGGGTTTATTTGTTTTACCTTTTTTATCCTTATTGTAAACTTTCATTAGCTGTATATACAGGGCTCTACATTTAGTTTGTATCCCTTGTTACTCTCAACTACATCAAGTTGGTATCAGAGCCACAGCCCTAACCCTAACCCTAACCCTAGCCCCTCCTTCCCATTGCAGCACCACACTGCCACCAGCCACCGCGACTGCTCCAGTTCAGCAACACAAACCCACCAACCCAGCTGCCCAATTCAGCAACACAATTCCACCGTGACTGCATACTGCCCAGCCATACTTCAGCAATACAAACGCACCAACCCAGCTGTCCAATTCAGCAACACAAATTCACCGTGACTGCATACTGCCCAAATCCACCAATCCCACAAACTGCGACCTGCTTTGATACTTCCCAAATCCACCGACATACTACCACAAACCCACCAATCCCACAAACTGCGACCTGCTTTGATACTTCCCAAATCCACCGACATACTACCACAAACCCACTCCACCGACAAACGAACACAAACCCACATACCAGCCCTCCACTGAAACAACCTCTGCCTTCCACCGAAACAACCCAACACCGACAAAACACCGACAGCCCTCACATACCAGCCCAACCCCAGCTAACACCAAACGAACCCAGAAACTCCACCGACCCAATACACCAAACGAACCCAACCACTCCACTGCCCATACCAACTGCCCATATAATAATAATACTAGACCACCTCAGATCCAACCCAATAAATCGAATAACATATTAAATTAGCCCAGCAACCCAGTAAAACTGAACTCCTACGGCTGGGTCATTGTCCAGCCCACTGGGTCACAATTTTCGTCGCAATTTCCGTTGTGGCTTTGTCCTAGGACTTTTTTAGGAGGGAATGAATCCTCTTCTCCGGTGATCTATTTTTGATGCAGTAGATCACTTATTTATCTTTATTGGATTTCTGGGCACCGTGACCTTGATTATTTGGGAGCTTTCTGGACCTTCTTTATCTGTCGCTACTGTTCGACTGGAGGTATATTATTCTCCCTTATTTTATCCCTCTATTTATCTTAGAGTTATTTTTCTGTTACGAGTGTCATAGTATTATGATGATATGACTACTACCGAGGGAGTTGAGACTCCTACCGTTGAGACATCTGTTAGTACTTCCACCGGGTATAGAGGTTGACAACGCTCGGCCCAGCGCCGTCAGGGTACCCCATGTCAGTTCAAGCACAGACCATGTCAGCCTCATCTTGATGCAATTTATCATATTCTTCGGTACCTCAAGTCTTGTCCTGGACTTGGGTTGTTCTATGCATCAGGATCTCAGATTGGTTCTCTAGCCTGTTATTCAGATTCAGATTATGGGGGAGCATGTGACGATCGATCTACTACGAGCTTCTATGCTTTTCGAGGGACTCATCTTATCTCTTAGAAGAGCAAGAAGCAGTCAGTTGTCTCTCGCTCATCAGCAGAGGCAGAGCATCGGGCACTAGCAATTGGCACATGTGAGATTATCTGGCTACGATCGATTCTTGGCGAGTTGGGATTTTCAGTGACTTCTTCATCTACATTATATTGTGATAATCGATCTGCTATTCAACTCGCTTCTGACTCTGTATTACACAAGAGGACGAAGTATATAGAGATCGATGTTCACTTCCTTCGGGAGAAGGTTAGCAGTGGTATTGTCGCCCCATCATTCGTGGAGACCAGTGATCAGGTTGCGGATGTGTTTACCAAACATATCACTCTATCCATTCTTCGAGACTCCGTTGTTAAGCTTGACTTAGTTGATATTTTTGCGCCTAACTTGAGGGGGAGTGTTGGAGATATAACAACCTAATTTATTAGGGTTTATTTTGTTTTATCTTTTTTTATCTTTATTGTAAACTTTCATTAGCTATATATACGGGACTCTACATTTAGTTTGTATCTCTTGTTACTCTCAAATACATCAAATGACATCAATCAAAGAAATAAACTCCCCCATTTCCATATCATGAAGACTTCTACAAAAACTAAAATCCCACGAATATAGATGATCATAAGATTGAAACAATGGATACATCATGATAACAAGAAACATAATAAAGACGAGGAAACAAACAAAACAAAGGATACTCCCCCACCCATAAATCCTCCGAAAAATGAATTCTTACCCTTATTACCAACCATAGCCCGAGCATTTTGAGAAAACCTCGTCAATTTCTGAGAAATAAATTTTCATGGACTTCGAAAACATTCCCCTTCAACCCTACTCAAATCCATACATTGGCATATAATCCATATTTGTTCTTGATAACTAAATGTCACAGAGAGTTTTGCCCTCGTGGGAATCTCCAAAGCCACTTGCCAATTAGAACAATATTTCTTGCTTCAAATTCTCAATTGAAAGACCACCTTTATCCCGAGTCCTAGAAACAATCTCCCCACCCTATCAAATGATCCTTCTTTCCCTCATCATTATCTTCACACAAAAAATCTCTCTTCATCTTCTCAATTTTCTTAACAATTTTTCCAAGCATCTTAAATAAGAATAAGAAATATGTGGGGATACTATTTAAAACAAACAACAATAGAGTTAATCTTCCCCCTCTAGAAATAAAAGCACTCTTCCAATCATCTAATATTTTTCTCATTCTTTCCACCATTGGATCCCAAAAATATGGTAATAATGGATTACTACCACCCAATGGTAAACCTAAACACTTAAGAGGCCACACTCCATGTTACACCACATTCGTTCCACAACTCTATTGATTTTAACCTAATGTGAGTTAGTGCAAATTCTTGTCTATGTTCACCTAAACTTGACCCAATACCAAAAACCTCTACAATATTTTTAAAATTAGCTACTTTATCCTTGTAAAAAAAAATATTGTATCATTGATAAACTACAAATGTGTCCACAGTATCCTATTCCTGCCTACCATAAAACATTCCATCAATTTACATCTCTTAGCCTCACTCACTAAACTACTTAAACCATCCACCATTACATTAAAGAGAAAAGGAGAGAAGGGATCGCCCAATCTCAACCCTCTAGAAGCCTTAAATTTACCATAGAATTTTCATTAAGCATAATGGAGAAATTCATAGAAAACATCCCGACAACCAACTCCTCCATTTATCACCAAAGCCTCAATATATATAATGTTTGAATTTAATCTTTGATGTCTCCTTTTGAATTACGTATCATACAATACATTAATAAAAATTCATGACTTTGAAGATACGAATTTTTTTTAAGTATTTTCTATTGTTACATGTCAAAAGAGCATAAAATGATTCTAGTTAATTGTAACCTTAGCAACAAATACTTCTAAGTAAAAATTAGTTTTGATTCCTTTAATTAGTCCATTAACGTTGTGAATATAACATAATGCTACAATATGTACTTTTTTGGAACTTTTTTTTTTTTGGCAAAAGTTGCTTATTATGTTAAAAGAATTATCAAATATATAATTTTTAAGTCGATTGATAATAGTAAAAATATGAAATATATTTTTACTATAGATGTATCATTGTCGAATCCATATCTTACTTTTTTAGATTTTGTCATATCACTATATCCGTATCTATATTCGCCCTTTATAGATTATCTAGAAATTTATTTTTAATAAATTAGAAGACGTAGGCTAATCATATAGTTATTTTTTACAACTTTAGAAGGTTTATCTTGGCTCCTGCAAATAAAAAAAATGTTCTTAGCTTCATCTTTGTAGGAATCAAAAAAATGTTCTTATCCAAATAATGGAGTATAAAAATGCAATACATCCAACAACAAGAAGTACATGAAAGGTCTACATTTTTATTCTTATTTGCAATATAATTTATAAGGTGGAAGTAAAAAAAAAACCAACTAACCAAGCCAGGAATTGAATTCAGGAACAGTGAAAGGTAAGTTATTTATCAAGAAAAATGTAAAAGATACATGCATTATATGCAGATATACAAGCAAATCTGAAATGTTATTAGAAGTACTGACTTGACAACACTTAATGATTACCTCCTGTCATTGGGGAGAGCTTTGTGCACTGAACTGTTTTTTTTTTGGTGACTAGCTCAAGAATTAGGATACCCTGTATCTAACTAAAGGCCCCAACCCCAAACTTTCTCTTCGCCTTTTATCCATTATTAATAAAATTTATCACAAACACGTACAAAGTAACACTTAAAACACTGTTATTAGTTGTTGTTTATAATTCCTGCAACCTTAACCATGAAAGTTCTGAGAGTATTGCAACCCACCATTTTTAGACCAAGTCGAATCCAGCCAAATTCTCATTTCCAATGCCTACCACCACTCTTCTAACCCATTAACAATAAACTCACAAGCGTTCATTAACCTAAGTTCAGCACAAGGCCTGCTCGTGTTGCATCAAATAGGTATGTGATTAACTCGTAAGAATTATTGCCTGGATCCCAAATGAGCCCTGAAAAGTTTATTCATGCCCCCAAATAGACAGAAGTGAACTCTAAGTCAAACTATGCCCATTCCTTATGTAATGAGAATGCATGCACTTGCAATTAAATGGTCTCTAAAAGATTATGACATTCAAAAAATCTAGCACCAAATCCCTGGTATGGCTTGTTAGCTGATTAGGAGACATCGACTGAAGGAAGAAAGCATAAAAGGCTCAGGTGTTCTTACAATCAAGGGTGTAACATGTCAATGGGTCTGCAGGCAGACCACAAAGTAACCTGTTCTTCAAAAGACAACAAAAACTAATAGTTTTATTTTGTAGTTTGTTCTTCAGAAGACAAAAAAAATATTAATCTTAATAGACTAAATTCTTACATATTCTTTTCTTTGGGGGCAAGTAACTAGATTCTTACGTATCCTTAAATGACTCATCCATACATCACAACTGGGTTGTCTTCTATTTACCTAAAAACTGACTCACTAGATTGCTTGTGGCCTCTATTTTGGCTAAAGCATATGACAGAGTAAGACTCCATTAAATTGTGGTATTTAAGATTCCTCAAAAGCTGGAAACTAGGTTCTTTTAGTTGGAAAGACTAACATGTCACAGTGCGAGGGCGAATGGAAGTCTTTTTCCCATAAGTTGAGGGCGAATGGTAGTTAGAGATATAGAAAACATCACTTTTTAAGAATGTCTGCTGCTCTCTCTGTATATAGCAGCCAGTTTGTTTCCGTAATTGAAGTTTGGGCAGCTTGTCTGGCCTATTTTTGTGTTCTGAAGAGTACTTCATCAATTTTGTGTGTCATTTCGCTGTTTAGTTTGCTTCCTCACAATAAGTTATTGTTAAATCCTCAAATTCAATCTATACCATTGATTTCTTTGATTACTTGGTACTCAGTCTGGCCTAGTTTGCACTTCTGACCCAGCACAATTGATAAATATGGACCCAACTTGAAATGTAAGTTGTAGTTTTGTCAGGGTCCCAAATGATTAAAAGCTAAATGTGCAAAACCTCAAATATAATACATTTGCTCAGCAACCGGACAGAAAATATAGGATCAAAACGAAACTAGCAAATAATACCTGGCACAAACCTTGGTCGCTGCAGGGATGCCCCGTAAATCCAAGGCCTAAAATTCGAAGCATTGTAGTAATAATTCAAAATCAATCCCCTTAAAAACCTATAATACAAAGGCGAAACCTCCAAATCATCTTCCACAACGAAAGCAAACTCGTCATCCGAGCTCGGCCACCATGCCTCCAACCACTGAGCCTGCAGCCCAACATTCGAAGTCCGATAATGCACTAACTTCTCCCCGTATTTCCACGAAAACCCATCAACAAAATTCAAAATTCGGCGCGATTCATTCAGTTTTTCATCCAGATTCACAGAACCGTTTTCTAGAACTTTGAAGTGGTCAATGAAGATGTGGAGATTGACTTTGTTGTTGTCGTAATGAGCGTTGGAGAGAGAGTGGAGACAGCGAGAGAGAGAGGCTAGGCGATCAAAGGTGAGAACCTTGATGATGAGAGTGAAATTCGGTGAATTAAGGTTCTGGATGTATACGGTTGTGAAGTTTGGGGAAGATTGAGAGAGAGGAGGTGAGGAGGGGTAGAGAGAGAAGACGAAGAGGGCGGAGAGAGATAGGAGGAGGAGGAGAGGGATGAAGTTTTTCTTTGGTGTCATTGAGGGTTAGGAAGCGAGAGAGAAGAAGGATGGCATTGTTTTGAGATTTGAGGTTCTGAGGATTGAATCTGAAGGGGTTTTTGGAGTTTGTTGGACTGCAAGATCTAGGAGATTGGAGTTGTTACTTCTGTCTGGTTTGGGGGTGAAGGGAGAAGGAGGAAAAAACATTGATTAAAACTCATTTGTTGTAAATATATTGCATAAGTAATACTGCAATATCTATATTTTATATAGGTATGGATGAAATTTAAATATGGATAAATTCTAGTCCGTAGATGTTAGTATTTGATATTATAATTTATATCCAGAGTTAATATTGTATTGGATTATTATTATAATGTGAGACTTAGATGATGTTTTCACCACATTAAAAAAATACATAGTTGGGAGTTTATTTCTCTATATTTTATATTCTTTTTGTCGTTTCTATAATTTATTTATTTTTACAATATGTTGTCAGCACTAATAACTTAAGTATTTTTCAAGTGAATTTAATGTTTAAGTATTGTTCAATTGAATTTGATAAAAATACTAAATTTCTATCCTCTTCGGACTTAAGAATTTCAAGTAAATTTCTTTTAAGAGAACCAATTTTTTTTATTTTATAATTGTCAATTCACGCATAAAAGAAGTTTGATAAGTTTTAACCACTTCGAAGAGTATTTGGTATTCATATTACTACCTCTAGAAGAGAGAGTAATAGATTATTATATAATTCTTTTAGCTCGCTTGAATTCTACCAGAATTATGCATGAGATTTCTTTTGGTTAAGTTCTTTGTATTCCTATTTTGAGTTCTAATATTCTTGTGTTTATTTATTATTTGTTTCAATATTCGTGATTTGAATAATATGCATAACTTGAGATTGTCGCTTTTGATATTTCATACATCAACTATCTTTCTTGAATTCTTGAGACTAACATTCACTTATCAACATTATATTGTTAGATTGAACTAAAATGATTGGCTATATGATAAAATTAGACATAAATAGAGCTATAATTATTAGTTTAATTGATATTTGTGTATCAAAATTTTTCACTATATGATAAAATTGAATTGAATCTTAGTTTCACTTGAGTGATTATGCTATGAAAATAAACTATAAATTGTTAATTGTTTGATAAATTGATCAAATTTAGTTTTTTTTTTATTTTGTTAAAAATAGATAGTATTCTAAATTTGTGTGGAAATTAATTTCTATAGGCCACACACCAATAAAAAAACTAACATTAACGACAACTTATTGAATGATTTTCTGAAATAAAATTCATAGTTACGCCACTATTTGAACCCTTTAGTTTAAACTTATGATTTCATCATTATTAGAGGCCTAAGAAAGTGCTCTTATGATTACCATTTATTATATGATAAATTGTCACTATGTGGTTTAACACCAGATAAGTTTTCAGATACCCACATATAGAGCTTCCAATCCATATGTGTGCAAATCCAGGTAGTATACATTTTTCAGAACCTATTTTGGCAAAATTCTCGAGTTTGCTAAGAGTCCATAATCATTTTGAACCATGGAGATACAGAATTTGCGAGAGAGAAGCTTGATAAAATCACCATAAATGATATTGTATTTTAATAATAGAAAATAAGATAACAAGACAATCCAGTAATCTATCACAACACGCCTTCAATTGTAGATTTGGTTACAAAGACCACCATGATCAAGACTGAGTTGTAACTTTAAGTTTTATACAACCCGATAGGCAAAAGATATACATGTTTCAGCTACAAAGGGTTATTTTTCTACAATATTTATCTGAGATATTAGAATTTTGGGAATTAAAAATGAAAAAACTAACTCAAACTTATATCTGAGCAATTCTCCAAGGCTAACTTTTAATTCTAATTAATTGTTAGATTTATGTAAATATATAAGATATTAGTAACTGACAAAAAGTTCAAAAGTCAGATTTTTGAAGTCTTTTAAGTTTGTATAAATTTTATAAATCATTGTTATAACTTGTCATTTACTTTCAAGAACTCTTACGACTTCCTTGTACTATTTTTAGAATCTATAATGTCTACAAGTTACAACATCAATTAGACCAACGAGAAAAATTAGTTTTATGTTATAAATCTATTAAAAAAAGAGAAATTAGTTAAAGTAATATTTGGATCAAGATAATATGGACTCTATATTATTGTTAAATTACAGTACAAAATTGCAATATGGACTTTGTTAAATTGTGTTAGGGGAAAATTACAAAATAATTTTTTTGATTATGAATTATATATTGGTAATTATTGAATTTGTAGGTTTATTTAAGGATACAATGTTAAATTTTTATGATTTAAGCCATAAATATATTTATTTAAGAAAAAAATAGAAATTCAATTTTTTTTTTATATTTAGATCAAATTTTTAGTATGAGGTATAATTGTCCTTATAATTTTGTTTAAGGGTAGAAGAGAAATCTATAAGTTTTTCATCTAAGGTACTTTTAAGGGCACACACAATGTCAAATTTTTATGATTTAAGCCATAAACATATTTATTTAAGACAAAAATAGAAATTCAAAAGTTTTTTATATTTAGATCAAATTATTAGTGTGAGGTATAATTGTCCTTATAATTTTGTTTAAGGGTAGAAAAAGTATTCAAAAGTTTTTCATCCAAGATACTTTTATTAGTTATTAATTAATATTAACTAGTTGATGTACATATACTTTTGCACGTAGACAATCTCATTGCGAATATTTTGTTTAGCACCAAAATTAGAAAAAGTGACATCAACATTACAAATAGTTGAAGTAAGCTCAATAAGATTGTGATTTTCATTTCTTTTTTTTTTTTTTGAGGTAGGGGATCAAATGTTGAAAAAATTTCAATCCTTATTTGCTTGATCCAAAATAAATAATATTTTTCAAAGGTACATAAATTAATTTCTTTTCAGATTTTTTATTGTTTAATATAAAGCTCAAGGAGCAAACCTTTGATGCAAAAATTCAATAAACTATTGCGATTATTGCAATTCCAACACCTTAATTTCACCTGCATTTGAGTAAAAATAGTAGGATTAAACTCAATAAAATAGTGACGATATATTGATCCTTATTTTGTAAAATGTAATCATATTTGACATTGTAAATATACACCCAATGAAGAGATAGATCAACCAACACGTGATTATGTCAGATAAATGGAAGATCACAAAATCTTACTTCTCTAACTACTTGTTGTTCAATGCTTTTGCAAATTTCTTGAAATATTTTTTTCTAAGATAGGGGAAAAAAATATTGAAGAGTTAAAGTTGAAAATAATTGTCCAACCATCAATATATAAGGACAAGACCACAAGCTTTTTTTATTTTTGGAAAAATTCCAAGCCCTCACATGTAAATAGGGACAAAGGTGATTATCTAACATTCGAGTTCTACGATACAGAGAGGGCACTTCACATCAAACAAATACATCAAACAATAATATTTTTATAGCAATCCTTAAAATCCAGTAGGAAAAGAGAAAAAAAGTTTTAAAAATTTTTTGTAGCTACCATAAACTCTTGGTTTTTCCATGTCCATAAAATTCAGACATCAACTTAGGAGAAAATTTTCAAGCTTGTTCGTAGTCACAATTCTTTTTTGGCTTAGGTATTAAAAGTTCAAATAAATTTATGTGGTTAGAATTAGAAGACCACAAATTGCCGAGTCCATTATATGGAGAAACAAAAAGATGATTATGTATAGTTTTGTTATTACTCATAATAATATGAACATCATTAGAGTTAAATCAAGTTCAAATGAATACATAAAATATTAAGTATATGTACCCAGAAAAGGTTAATTATAACTTTTTACAAAAAAAAAATGAGACTAAATATAACCATTTATAATTGATCCGGATGAGTCTTCAAACTTTGAAAGTGTTCCATGATAATTTCATTATCATTTCCATCGAAAATGTTTTTCGGTATATAAGTAATAAAACTATTTGACATTCATTGATTACTTATTCGATTACGTAACTTAGTTTTCACAATCTTCATTGTTAAAAATGTTCTCTCAACGGTGGCACTTGCAATTAGTAATATCAGTGTCTCAACTATTATTTAGCCTGATCACCAATTCGTAAGAGGTCTTCAAACTTGATACTAGAGAGCACATCAACAATATAATAGCCAAGCTAATCAAAAAGTCCCACGAACTCTAATGAAAAACTCCACTCATTCTTCCTCATCATTTGGAGTCGTTGTTTGGATACTTGAACTAACTTCATAACATTCATGATATCTTGATATTTTCTTTGTAGTGCCTAGGACAATTCATTCATGTTTTCCAATATACTTCTCATTCAGTGAAGATTGAATACAAATTCAAAAGATTGCAATTAGCCCAAAAGAACATTTGTTTTCCTTCTTTGTTCTGCATTTGAATCATCCTCTGAAATCATATCAAGCACATCAAGCACCTAAAAAAGCATATGAATCAAGCTAATCAGAGTATTATAATGGAAACTGATGCACTTCCCATTCGCGCGTGTTATTTTTGGACAAAAAAGTAAACTCACCATTCATATCCTTGTGTATGTGCATCAATTTTTACTGAAACAGAAATTAGTCCGAGGGCCACATTGGAACAAATTTATGACATTCAGGGTGCAATGTGGAAAAAATAATCTTCCGGGGTGCAATGTGAAAAAAATAATCTTCCGGGGTGCAAAGTGGTAATAGAGATACTTTTTGATATACAAAGTGCAAAAAATCCTAATTTTAATAGCGTGCTTCTCACAAAGAGTATCTCATAATTTGCACAACACTCCAACAATATTAACCATATCACCAACCAAAGTGAAGAATGTAACAATTAGGTTATCACTTTTTACCACAGTTGCAAGAGCTAATTGTAATTGATGAGCAAGACAATAAACATAATATGTAAATTCATTTTCCTTCAATATACTAGTTGATGTACACGTGTGTTGCACGTAAACCATTTTGAACATGAAATAATATATATACAAAATGTAGACCACTTTCCTCAATAT